ATTGGGGCGCAAAAACTATTTAAGAGCGAATACAGAAAAAAAAAAAAAGAACGGGGAGGTGCGTCCTGCTGCTAACGACTGCCGGCCAGGGAGGCGCGGTGTGCGTGGAGGAACACGTTTGCGTTGTGCGTTACTGTTTCTATGGTGTTTACCACGGTGTACTGCGAGGAGGAGCTTTGGTGCTGCGTCGTGTGGCCGCTGCACAAAGTTGTGTAGGGGCCAGGCCGTGTGTGTTTTCATTCAAGATTTGTATGTATACTCGTGCAATTCCTCTTGTATTGCGGTAACATGGTGTACACGCACACAGAGGCACCAGCATTCCTTTCTCCTCCTCCCTCTGCTGAGCCACCATGCTGAAGAGCGTTGGGAGAGACACAAGAAGGGAGTAGGAGGGGGGGGGGGGTAATCTAGCAAAAAGTTTGTAAGTAGTTCCGTATTCGCCCCCGCCCCAAGGCCAGGGTTCTCTCTGTGCTGCGTGCCGTCTGATGGGATGAACACCCAGCTGTCTGCAAAGGCCTTTACCCCCCCCCCCCCTACGCCCCTTCCCTTTCCTCTGTCTAGGAAGCTCGCGCGCCGCCCTTCTGTCCGCGTCGACCCCGACCGTTTTATTTTTTTCCCTAATTTTTTTCTGCATTCGCGACCGGAATAAACAATTTGGAGGCCGAGTTCGTTCCAATTTCCCGCCTTATACTACTCCTCGTGCCCCCCTCCCCCTGCTGGCACCCAAGGGGTGGGTGACCGCCCCTGACCAGCACCATACCGCTTGCTTGTGCTTGCTGAAGCGCGGCCGGGGCTGGGCCGGGTCGGGTCGGGCCGCCAGCTGAAGCCGAGTTATATTTTATTAAACGGGGCGGGGTGGGGCGGGCCGGGCCGGGTGGAGCCCCACACACATGACGGGCCTAGCACAATGCGCTCTGTTGGTTCACGTGCCGGGGGGACGGCGGCGGGCGCTGCGCTTCCCCACCCCTCTTCCCCCTTCCCCCTCTCGACTCCACGATACCGACGCTCTCTCGCCAGAGCGTATAG